GGCCTCTCGAGCCTCCTTAAGAAGTCAGAGTCGGAGGAAAACTAGCTGGTCGGAAAGACAGTTTTCCGAGCATTAAAAAAACAGTGAACCAAATTGAAATCCGACCATTAGTTATCGAGATATACGCGTTTGAAGTTCGCGTACGGGCCACCGTTGCCGTATATCTAGACGGCACGAATACACTTGGTATACGTATCTCTGCGAACAACAGACATTTGAAAGAAAATAGGCCCGAACGATGACTAGAGCATTTCGTAAACAACGATTCCCTTCCTCAAACTAACGATTGCGGAATGTAGAACGACGCGTACGCTGCTCGAATCTACGTCGAAAGCTCTATATAGACGTCTGGAAGGCCTATTTTTTGAAGGACTATTTTTTGACCTCGACGGATCCGCGAAGCACGAGCCAGACATTCTCCCCAACTACCTCCCTAGATTCCCTGTCCTTCAATCGACCATTATAGGCCCTCAAAGCGTCCCTAGAGCCATTTCCCTCTATACGCGTATGGCCAAATCCTATTATTAGACTCCAGATTGAAAATCTGGAGTCTATTGTTTTCGTCAGTTTTCTTATTAGACTCCAGATGAAATCTGGAGTCTATTGTTTTCGTCAGTTTTCTTCTTATTATTATTCTTATTCTTATTAGACTCCAGATTGAAAATCTGGAGTCTATTGTTTTCGTCAGTTTTCTTATTCTTATTCTTATTATTCTTTTTCTATCCCAGTTTTCTCAATAACCATAAGGTCTTCAGTAAAGTCAATCATTTGGTCAATTTAGGTTCAGTATCTAGTTCCTCGGAAATTGGGTCAAATTTTCTTCTAGGTCAAGGGTTAAGAACTAGGTCAAATCCAGTACTTTGTCACTTTTTTCGATTTTCTCGGTTGTCCTTCAATATTTTTGATCCTGTTTTTTTTCATTGTGTTCCTTATAAAAAAGTAGAAAACCTAGGGTCGATTTAGTTTTTTGGTATCTCAAACCGATTTCGAGATATCAGTGTCCGAAAACGAGGTCCAAAATAAAGTTATCCGAATCCAATGTCCAGGATATTAGTCTTATAGGAAATTTTCTCAGGATTCCAAATCTGAAAACCAAATTTCAATCTGACTTCCAGTTCAGAAGTTATGGCGTTTTGAAAATTCAAAAATCGCTAAATTTGGTGCCGCATGTTAATTCAATGGGAAAAAATATTTTTTTGAAGTGTAAAATATGAGATATAGACTAAGCACAGCTAAACATAATGGAAGCCCATAAAAGAAAGGGACCTCAAAACCTTCTTTTCATAAAAATTTGGACACCAAAATGCCTAAGTCAAAATCTAGGTCAAATTCATAGTTTTTCCTTATTTTTGCGATTCTGATACTACAGATTAATTATATTCTTCGAAATTTTGTATACATGTAGCCAAGAGTGTGCTAATAGTGTAAGCCTTTTGCCGTCAGAAAGTATTTTGACCCACTTTTGAGATATGGTATCCGAAAAGTAGGTCAAAATAAAAAATTCTCCAAATTTAACGTTTGAGTTATGAATTAAGTATAGAACTTTCTCAGGAATCTGAATCTGCAAATCAAATTTCGATTCGACTTCCGTTTCGGAAGTTATGACATTTTGAAAGCTCAAAAATTGCTAAATTTGGTGCCCTAGGTCAATGGGAAAAAAGAATTTTTTGAAGTGTAAAATACGAGATATAGACTAAGAACAGCTTAAAATAATGAAAGCCTATGAAAGAAGGGGACCTCGAAGGCTACCTAACTTCAAAATTTGGACACCAAAATCCCTAGGTCAAAATCTAGGTCAAATTCATAGTTTTTCCTTATTTTTGCGATTCTGACACTATATCTGAATGATTTGCTTCAAAATTTTGTATACAGGTAGGAAAGAGTGTGCTAATAGTGTTAGCCTTTTGCCGTTAGAAAGTATTTCGACCCACTTTTGAGATATGGTGTCCGAAAAGTAGGTCAAAATAAAAGATTCTCCAAATTTAACGTATGAGTTATGAATTAGGGGTAGAATTTTGTCAGGAATCCGAATCTGCAAATCAAATTTCGATCCGACTTCTGGTTCGGAAGTTATGGCGTTTTGAAATTTCAAGAAAAATCGATCTGATGGTATCCTGATAGAAAGTCAAGAGTAGAGAAGAAAATATTGAAAAATGCATCCATCCTTCCTTTCTGATCCTATCCTATCCTTCCTATCTACCCTTGCTTCGTATCCTCTCCTTCCTATCCTTCCTATTCTATCCCTTCTTCCTATTCTATTCTATCCTTCTTTCCTATTCTATCCTATCGTTCCTTCCTATTCTATCCTATCCTTTCTTTTTCATCCATCCATCCATCCATCTTTTGCTAGATGACTTAGCTTATTTTGGATGACTTGGCTTATTCTGGATGACTCGGCTAAAAAAAGTCTAGATCTGGAGTCTGAAATTGAACTCGTTCAATTTCCAAAATCTAGTTATTATTCTTTCTCTCTTGTCACGTTTTCTCGGTAACTAGAAGGACTTACTTAAATCTGCTAACACAGTCAACTAGGTAATGAGGCCTAGTTTCTGGGAAATTAGGTCAACTTTTTATCTAGGTCAAAGGTCAAGAACTAGGTCAAATCGTGGTTTTTCACTATTTTACAAGTTTTCTCAGTCGTCCTTCGGTATTTTCACTCCGGGTTTTTTTCATCATGTTCCTTAGAAAAAGCTTATTACGAATGGTAAACCGTTTTTTGATTACTCTTACCGATTTTGAGATATGGTGTCCGAAAAGTAGGTCAGAACATAAAAAGTTCTCCAAATTCAACGTGTGAATCATCAAATAAGTGTAGAATTATCTCAGGAATCCGAATCTGCAAACAAAATTTCGATCCGACTTCCGGTTCGGAAGTTATTGCGTTTTGAAATCTCAAAAATCGCTAAATTTGGTGCCCATGTTAAGCCAATGGGAAAAAAGACTTTTTCGAAGTGTAAAATACAAGATATAGACTGAGTACAGCTTAACATAATGAATGCCTAGAAAAGAAGGGGACCTCAAAAGCTACATAGCTTCAAAATTTGGACACCAAAATGCCTAGGTCAAAATCTAGGTCAAATTTATAGTTTTTCCTCATTTTTACGATTCTGACACTACACTTTAATAATTTGCTTCAAAATTTTGTAAACAGGTAGCAAAGAGTGTGCTAATAGTGTTAGCCTTTTGCCAACAGAAAGTATTTTGACCCACTTTTGAGATATGGTGTCCGAAATGTAGGTCAAAATAAAAAGTTCTCCAAATTTAACATATGAGCTATGAAATAAGAGTAGAATTTTCTCAGGAATCTGAATCTGCAAACCAAATTTCGATCTGACTGCCAATTCGGAAGTTAAAGCGTTTTGAAATCTCAAAAATCGCTCAATTTGGTGCACCATGTTAAGTCAATGGGAAAAAAGACTTTTTTGAAGTGTAAAATACAAGATATAGACTGGGTAAAGCTCAACATAATGAACTATTATTAAAGAAGGGGACCTCAAAAGCTACATAGCTTCAAAATTTGGACACCAAAATGCCTAGGTCAAAATCTAGGTCAAATTCATAGTTTTTCCTTATTTTTACGATTCTGACACTACACTTTAATAATTTGCTTCAAAATTTTGTATACAGGTAGCAAAGAGTGTGCTAATAGTGTTAGCCTTTTGCCGTCAGAAAGTATTTTGACCCACTTTTGAGATATTTGTGTCCGAAAAGTAGGTCAAAGTAAAAAGTTCTCCATATTTAACGTATGAGTTATGAATTAAAAGTAGAAATGTCTCAGGAATCCAAATCTTTAAACCAAATTTTGATCCACCTTCTGATTAGATAGTTATAGCAGTTTGAAGTCTCGGAAAGTCGATATGATGATATCCCCATGTTAAGCCAATGGAGTCGAAGATAACATTCTTAAAAGTTGTCTAAATGTCTATATTCTAGCTGACTCAGCTTATTCTGAATGACTCAGCTTACAAGTTACAAGTAATTGGATGACTCAGCTTGAAAAAAGGTTTAAATCTGGAGTCTTAAATTGAACTTGTTCAATTTACATGTCTAGTTATTAATGTTTTTATTATTCTTAAATCATAGTAATTTACAAGATAATGTGTAGCAAAATAATCAAAAATGATGTGGAAGTTAACGTCGTGACAGTCTATAATCCCCCAGAAAATCACAAAGATGTAACATTATTCATGGATAATATCCAAAATGAGGACATTGTGGATGCTGGAAACACAGTAATCTTAGGAGATTTCAATGTTGATTTGTTCAAGGACACTTCAAGCATCAAGCGATTCAAAGAACATACATCAAGCATTCAACAACACATCACAATGCCAACACAAAGAGAAGGAGGATTGTTCGATCATATTTACACAAACCAATGTGTTAGAGACAGGATGTTATCAAGTGGAACATTTGACCTCTACTACTCTGATCATTCAGGAGTATTTATCATGCTTGAAGCTTAAGCTCATCTGTATAATCTGAATCATATCTATTCACAATTGTACATATATATTTCAGTTGCGACATAAAACACAAGTATAAAATAGAATAGACTTTATTGTATGAATATATTTCTTGTGTGATTTACTATTACTTAGTTGGAAGTTGGTGTGGTGATATTTAAAGCACCTAATCCCTCATTCCTTTTAGCTTGCTGTGTTGTTTTTGTGTAGGTATGTTTATATTTTCAACCTACATTTGACCCTTTTAAACTGAACCTTTCACTTTATCATCACCCAGAAACCTATTCATCACTCACCTTATAAGCGTGGGGTATGTATTTTATACTTAGATCCTATGTCATGAACAAACTAAATGGGTTGGGGTACAATAAACATAGTTTATTGGGGTTGCTATGGCAACCAATTGTACTACTACAAAATAATACGTGAAAAAAAAAAAATATTTTCAAGCACATGCCAAATTTTGCAGTAAATCTCTCAGCTGATCTGATTGGTCAGAAATATACGCCTATACAAGCTGCCATCTATATACACTAAAAGTCTCTAAAAGCATATAACAGGTTTATTATCTGCTACTTAGATCCTATGTCATGAACAAACTAAATGGGTTGGGGTACAATAAACATAGTTTATTGGGGTTGCTATGGCAACCAATTGTACCAAACCCCCAAACCCATAATGTAACTACAAACTGTTACTAACAAATGTCACTCTTTTCCAGCCTCCTGCGTAAGTAAACTAGCCATTGTCCACCTACTTTCCATGGGTATATCAATATAACGCTCCCAGGCGTTCGAGCGCCAATCACCTTGTGATTTAATGAGCAGTGGGGACGCTCCTGCTATAAACGCTGTACAGGCCCCTCCTCTCCTAAACGAATGTCCAGAATAATCTGCAGCATTAAATCCTGCACTGTCTAAAGTGCCTTTCAGCATCTCACTAAATTGTTTTTGTGTCATAGTTTTTAGCGCCCCATGATGCATGTAAGACGCTAGAGGCAATGCTGATAAACTCTCGTATTGCTCCTTCCTTGAACATAGCATATCTTTAATTGCCTTAACTGGGCATAATAAACCACCTGTCGCTAGCATTGGTATTTTTAACAGTCACTCTCTGGCTTGAATTGTTTTAGTGCGTTTGATTGTAATAATACATCCTTCTTCGTTGAAAGCCAAGTCACATGTTGACACATCCCTATTCGCATCATACTGGCCAGACTTAAGCAGCAGAGTAGATTTTCTACATAATGTGAAAAAGGCAATGAGACATATTGCCCAAAATGTACAAATAAAGGAAGAGTTGAAGTCCAATTGCCGCTGTATTGCTCGTAGTATACTGGGTGTAATCGGCAGTTTCCGCTTAACTGGTGTATTGTTCGTACGGTTGATTCCTCTGAGAAGCAGGTTCAGAGAAAAGTTATTAATTAGTGGATTGTCCAAGCCCGACTCCATATGTATCAATCTAATTATATTAAGATACTGACGTACGCTTGCTGGCTTCAAGGTCCGGGCCAGGAACACTGTATATAATAGTAGAGTTTCTTGAGTGCATGGTACTGGTGCGAGTCCAAAGTATATACAAAACCTCAGGTATGATCTAAGGTGAGACATGTAAGTGGACTTAGATGATTCTGCATAGGTTTGCTTACGATATTGTCCAAGTTCCTGTCGTAGTCGCGCTAAATGCAGCCACAAGCCTGTAATATACAAATAAAGGCAGCTTCAGTCATATGATCAAAAAGTTTATAGTTATGACAAGCTATATCTACACCACTATACTGTTTTATCATACTCTGAGCCAAAACAGCCATATTAAGGTTAGAAAATCTAGATATTGCATCTGCAGTTATGTTTTTCTCTGTAGAGACTCTTTTGGCTGTTAGGTAAAAGTTATATTTTGCCGATTTTACCATCATATCCATGAGCCACGAACACGCACTTTTGTCTTTTGCCAGGCCTTTATTAATCCAAAACATAGCACTATTATTGTCTGTATACACCACTATACGTTTATTTGCCCATGTTGTGTGCCATCTATCGACAGCTAATTTTATAATGTATAATTCCTTTAAATTTATATGCATGTTTTGAATATCCTGAGTATCCGTAGCCCAGTTAACATAAAACCAGTCTGAACTGTTTTTTGTATTTCGCTTATTGTTATGCCAAGCTGCTCCACCCTCTTGACAGGCATCTGTGGAGAAAGTGATATCGGGGCGTGTCTTATATTTAAGAATAAGGCTCACACCATTGAATTGCTCACTTTTGAAGAAAACTTTCCATTCCTCCAAACTGTTTCGCTGCGCCTGATTAAGCCTTAGCCTGTGCGAAGGCTGTTTTGCTGTTTTACATTTATCAATAAGTTCACGTAGCAGGGGTCGCGCCGACCTATATATGGTTGCTGCCCATTGCAGCTTTCCAATTATCTGTTGCAGTTCACGTTTAGTGCATTTCGCTTTTATACACCATTTATCAACACTACACTTAAGTTCCAACAACTTTGAATCAGGAATTTTTATAATATTCTTCACTGTGTCAATGGTTAGTCCTAAAAACGTAATAACTTGAGTGGGCGGAACCAATTTCTTCCAGCTGATTGTAAAACCAAGACTAATAAGTAGCTCTAATAATGTGTTCATTGCCTTTTTGCATGACTCAATGTCTGATGTAGTAATGAAAAAATCATCCAAATATACAATAATGTTGTTTATTCCGCGTCGTTTCATCATCCTCCCTACCGCGGCAGTCAGCCTTGAAAAAATTTCTGGACTCATGTTACTACCAAAGGGCAGGCGAACATCAGTCATGTATGTACATTCGTTATCTCCAGGAAATTTAAATTTTAAACCAGTGGCTTTATGCGATTGTCACTGGTTGGAACATGTCTATATCCCCATCGTAAGTCAACTTTGCACATATAATTTCCCGGTTTAACTAGTTTCACTGCTTGATCAAATCCCTCAAATTTGAAAGGTCTGGGTGTGGCCAGGGAATTCAGGCCTTTGCCCAAAGGCCTACTAGCGTCATGTATGATGCGTGGCTCTTCACTTCCTGCTTTGGGTATTGCCCCAATACTGCTTATTAGATTTGGTATACTTTTTGTTATAATATATCTGTCATTTTCAATTTCTTCACGAATTTGTTTTGCAACTTTTTTTACAATGTTGGGGTTTGTAGCTGATTTATAGTTTTCATTATCTATCACTGGTACTGTTTTTTCTACATCTATTATATCAAATCCATTTTTAATACCGTTCAAAATAAATTCCCGATCACTGTCATATTTTAATTCCTGATCCCAAGTTGCGTACTTGTTCGTCAAGGGGCTGGAAACGTGTCCCTATTTGCACTGTTCATGTAGATAGGCTGGGTGTGCTTGACTGCACCCACTTACATTGCATTTCCCATGCGCAAATTTACATTGTGTTCCGTATGAACACCCACTTAATGTGTTCCATTGCCGACATAATATATTGTCTTGTGATTGTGGTTGCGTCTGTCTGGCTTTACGCTCTTCGATACCAGATTTTTTGAACTCTGATGGCAATTTTTTACTGAGGTGAAAATTGACCAAATGTTGATCGTCTATACCCCAATCTGCTGCGCCTTCTGATTGCTTGATACGGAACGCATTGTCGTATACCATGAGTGATGGGATGGTATATATCTGGGCTAGATCTCCTACTGCTTTAGTATGCTGGGCATACTTTACGACATCGTTAAGGTCTGTTATAAGTCCTTTTTTAATCATCTGAATCATTATTTCCGCGTTAGCCGACACCCATTGTGGCAATGTCACATTTTCAATCTTTGGTTTTTTGTTAACCTTATATACCAAGTCTTTCGTTATATACTGTTCGTCTTCATGCATATAACGTCCCAATTTGCCATCTCTGACAAAATCGTTTATTAACAGTATTGGCTCTTTACCTTTGTCCGTATCATTGACTCCCGGGGTCCTCTCGCCTGGCACTTCTGCGCTCAGAAAATCCATGCCTACTCCACTGGCTGCCACTTTTGCCGCCAGCTCGTTTAGCTCCTTATTCCTCTGGAGATCTTTTGACGTTAGATCTTGATCTGCCATTTCTGTGGTCTCAATTTTTGGCCGGAAAAAAGTCCCCTGTGTATATTGTTGTGGTCTTGCTGCTTTTGTCTTCAATTCATTAAGGGCATATTCAAGCCCTCTGACATGTCCTAACTTTTGTAATTTCAGTGTTCCAATATCTTCATCAGTCATGCCTAATAAGGCCACTTTACTTTCAAACCCTTGGTCTTTTAGGGCCGTATAGACCTCCAGTCCTAGACCATTATCGTCACACCATTCTTTGATATCCATTCTATTGGTTTATATATGTATTCCCTTGTACTTAAGCTTTAATTCACAAGGTTTTAGACATTTTTTAAAAAATAATATTTTCAAGCACATGCCAAATTTTGCAGTAAATCTCTCAGCTGATCTGATTGGTCAGAAATATACGCCTATACAAGCTGCCATCTATATACACTAAATGTCTCTAAAAGCATATAACAGGTTTATTATCTGCTACATAATTTCGGCTCGCAAGAATGACCAGCAAGACAAAAATGTTAGAAACCACAATTCCTTTGACCAAGCAAGACATACAAGATTTATTTTAAAAATTGGACATTTTTTGCAAAAAATAAATGCAAAAGCCCAATGAAGTGCCTTCTGGCTTGATGGCGGGGATATATTGGGTTAGAAGCAGTTCCATGTTCATATCGATTCAATACAGAACATACCATACGAAAAGGCACAAAAAATGTCAAGGATAGCATTCTTAAAAGTCAAGCAAGATGAGAAAAATCAATGACATTGCTTAAATACAGGTGAACAGAGGTTCAGATTGTAAATCATCTACCTTTCACTGTCCCCACATTTTCCTTCAGTTAATAGTTGGAAACAGTCAATAATACTGCCAATGAGGAAATCAAGTTGCAAATGCTGGAACACTTTCAACAAGTTATGTTACACAAGATGTACTATCAATGGAATGATGTGCATCACTACCAAGAAGGCATACTGGGGAAAATTGAATAAGGCATCCTCACGCGATAGAGTGACCTTGGTCAATATTTTGACAATTTTGCAAGAGTATCCAGAATAGACCACGATAAAGCTTCTAAAAAATCTGCCACAGCAAAATTTTAACTTGGCAAAACTAAATCTTGTGACAAAAGGAATCAGATTTACATCTATCACATGTTTACTAGTGGCTGGTGTGATCAGAGTTCGGATCAAAAAAAGGACATTTGTCTCTTCGCCATGTGAGCAGATTTTGCTTTGGAAGTTTTGGTCGTGTAAATTTGAATCAACAAAATTTACATGACCAGAAAGATTTTGCGAAGCTTAATTTAGTAAAAAAAGAATTCATGTCATAAATTCTGACAATTCCAATATGCAAACTTATGATCTGATTTAAAAATAATCTGATGTATTTACAGACATACAGTCACAAAGTTATGTCATTTACATTCAAAGATAATCCTGAAAGAGAATGCAATCCCTGTAATTCATGCCCCAAGACATGTCCCAATCCATTTAAAAAACCAACTTTGCAAGGGCTTTAGTGGTTGGTTGACCAAGGCTTGAAAAGCAGGGTAAAAGTGCCAATTGACAGGGATTAATAGTATGGTTGTTGTCCCCAAGGATCCAGAGGCCAAGAGAATCAGGCTTTGCAAAGACCCAAAGGAGCTGAACAAGTACATCAAAAGGGAACATTGCCTCATGCCAAAGAAGGACCAACTGATAGCTGAGATGCTTATCATAAGAAAGAAAGAAAGAAAGAAAGAAAGAAAGGGCCTTAAACAGACTCGGGGCTGATCTATTCCTAAATTCCTAACCATCACATACATTGAAAGACCTGAATTGGCTGCCTTTCACAAAGTAAAAGTTAAAAAGTATTCCAATACTAAAAAAAACTAAAAGTCTACAGAAGAAAAATAAAACTAAAAGTCTACAGAAGAAAAATGAAATGAAATTGTTCTTAAAAAACAATGAGTACAGAAAGTTGGATAGCTGGTAACCCTAGCCCTGTCTCACAGTAGACTTAAAACTCACCACCAGGTTGCATGGAAGCAAAGGTGAAACGCACCATTTCTCAATACGCACGAAGACAGGCCAGGGCAAGTCTGTATAAGGACAAACTGTTTATGACTGATGGGGACATTGAATCTGATGTAACCATGCAAGTATTTACTGATGACAGTTCGATCTCTGTTCTGTGCTTCGATGACATAGCAGTTTCAGCATTTGAAGGAGAAATCTTTGAGGAATATTAACTTAAATTCCTTCGCTCTTCTTAGCATAGAGGTTCTTCTGACAATGTATTAAGTCAAAGAGGAACAGAAAAGAAGCAACCCTGCCATGCGTTTTTACAGCCTTCACAGACAAGATTCTAAATCATTGTAAAACCACATGGCCCTTCTTAGGGCTACCAACTATTGTAAAGGGAAATTGTCTTTATGAATACATGTATCTTTTTAGTAATCCATTAGTTTGTAATGAGCATACTGCATGAGAATGAGTCCTACCACTACTTTGTGTTAAGGTTTTGATAAGGATAACCGACATATCATTATCACTACTGTGTTATAAAAACAGAATACTCCAGAATAATACAAACACATGATTGCTTGAGAAATATTCAACTCAAACCTTGTTGTTAAAACCAAAAGAGAATAAAAAGTTTGATGCTGGTATATATCGGGTGTCCCAAAAAAAATGTCCCGCTTTTTGAGCTCTTATAACTCTGCAATATATAAACCAATTCATTTGAAATTTATCAGGGAATAAGATAAGGATATTACCTATAAGTTATAAAAATATTTAATTAATCGGATGTACATTATGTGAGTATCGCCAAATACAAGATAGCATAGCAAGAGATGTAATATCGGAGGACAACTCACTTATTTCACCTTATAATGTAGGTTGATGAGCATCGCCAAATACAAAAGTTAAACAGCATAAGATAAAAAATTGGTACAGCAAAAGATCAACAACTCACTTATATGTTAAAGGAAAAAGAAAAAGAAAATGTTGCAATTTATATGATCATTATTCAGCGGCAGATGTCAAGAAGATCATTTTCAGTGATGAGAAGGAATTTTCTCTCGAAGTGCCCAAAAATCGTCAAAATGATCGGGTGTATGGAAAGAGTAAAACTCAAATTCAGCCATCACGTCTTTACCATGAAACTTCACGTTTTTCCAAAAAGATAATGGTTTCTGCAGGAGTATTCTGGAAGGGGGAGACAACATTTATTTCATTGATACTGACAAAGCAAAAGTCAACAGCGAAAGCTATATTAAGTTATTAGATGAAAATCTGCTACCTGATTGTAGGAGGATTTACCCTAGAAATGACTATGTGTTTCAACAAAATGGGGCGCCTTCCCACACAAGTGGGGTAACCCAGGCGTATCTGGAGAGATCCACCCCAGCATTTATCAAAAAGGTTGAATGGCCTCCACAAAGTCCAGACTGTAATCCAATGGATTACTCTGTTTGGGATTCTCCAAATCAAAAAGTTTACAGTGGTATGAGGGATAAGTTTACAGAATAAACATTAAAAGAGAGAATAAGTGCGTCATGGCAGGAGATATCACAGGATGAAATCAAGAGCAGTATCTCTGTATGGAAGAAACGACTCCGTTTAGTTGTGAAGGAAGATGGAGGCCACATTGAGCACAAGTTATTAGATAAGTGAGTTGTCGATCTTTTGCTGTTACCAACTTTTTATCTTATGCTGTTTAACTTTTGTATTTGGCGATGCTCATCAATCGACATTATAAGTTGAAATAATTGAGTTGTCCTCCGATATTACATTTCTTGCTATGCTATCTTGTATTTGGCGATACTCACAAAATGTACATCCAATTAATTAAATATTTTTATAACTTATAGGTAATATCCTTATCTTACTCCCTGATAAACTTCAAAGAAATTGGTTTATATCTTGCAGAGTTATAAGAGCTCAAAAAGCGGGACGTTTTTTTGGGACACCCGATATGTAGCCTTTGGCCTTACACAAGAAGCAGCATGGCAACAACACGATACAGTAACAAATTGTTCATTTAATTGTTTCAAAGTATGTTCGTGTAATAATAAAACAGCATAATTGCATTTGATAAATTTTGATGAATAATTCATGTAAATGACTTCTAGTGACTATGAGAAAGGCTTGAGCATGTTGAGAGGGCAAGCAGCAACTAGCTGTTCTGTGAAAAGAAATAAAGCATTTGAACCTGGGTCGATATTGGGCAGTCCGACTATGGAAGCCAGATGTCAAAGAAATGCTTCAGATGAGAAGATATGTTCTTCTTGGCATAGAGGTCCTTCTGACAACTTATTTAGTCAAAGAGGAACATAAAAGAAGCAACCTTGCCATGCATTGTACAGCCTACACAGACACGATTCTCAATCATTGTAAAACCACATGGCCCTTCTTAGGGCTACCAACCATTGTAAAGAAAAATTGTCTTTATGCATACATGCTATGCATCTTTTTAGTAATCCATTACTTTGAAATGAGCATACTGCATGTGAATGAGTCCTACCACTATCTGTGTTAAGGATAAATGAGATTATCACTATTCTGTAATTAAAACAAAATACTCCAGAATAATACAAACACAAGATCGCGTTTTCATACACAATTTACATTCATGATATAGAATTCAAAAACCAATTATCTTTTTTAAAATGCTTGGTGGCTCTGTGTGGGTAGCTATCATTTCTTTAGGTGGTCAATTTGTTTCTTAAGTTTTGTACACCTCAAAACCACACAAAACTGATTTCCGTGTACGTAGAAGAAGTCTTCATCTGACCTCTTCATTCCTTGAACATGCTCGATTCGTGTGGATAGTTGTTCAATCTGCTGTTGTAGTATCAAAAGTTGCCATCAGTTTAGTTCTCAGAATGCAACTGAAGCTACATGCTCCATTTCTCAGACTCCTTCAATTATTCCAACTTATTTCTCCTCTCAAACTCAATTTTCAAGACAGACTCATTCAAAATCTGATACTCCAGTCTTTCCATCTCTCGCCTCTGTCTCTCCATAACCTCTTGCCTCTTCATCACATCGCCTACTCCCTCTCCATCACCTACTGAACATCCCGCCACTCCCCCAAGAATTTACTGATTTTTGCATATGGAATGCCATAATAGAACAATTTTACAAGTGATGCTTGTGTAGAATTTCATATAAGTCCCTTACTAATTTGACAAACAACATTCCCCTACACTGGTCTTCCAGATATAGCAGACCTATATGGCATTGATCCTATATTAATTCAGGATACCAAAAACGGCGATCCAAAACTTTTTATTTACAAGGTTGCTTGCCAGATTCTCACAACGGGTGAAATCAGAGGCCACAATTATTTAGGCAAAAGCTCCAAAACAAATTTAGCTAAAGGAGAAATATCTATTCCAAAGAAGAATACATTGGAAGCTTCAGTCAATTTTACAGAGTGAGCGATGCCAGTAGAATTTCATATGAGTCTCTCACTGATTTAGAAACACCCTTCCCCTACACTGGTCTTCCAGATGTAACTGACCCCTATGTCATTGATCCTCTTTAAATTCAGAATGCTAATTCCCAATGTCACAGTGATCCAAAACTTTTCATTTACAAGGTTGCTTGCCAGATTTTCACCACAGGTGAAATCAGATGCCGCAATTATTTAGGCAAACGCTCCAAAACAAATTTAGCTAAAGGAGAAATATCTATTCCAAAGAAGAATGCATTGGAAGCTTCAGTCAATTTTACAGAGTGAGCGATGCCAGTAGAATTTCATATGAGTCTCCCACTGATTTGACAAACACCATTCCCCCTACACTGGTCTTCCAGATGTAACTGACCCCTATGCCATTGATCCTCTTTTAATTCAGAATGCTAATTCCAAATGTCACAGTGATCCAAAACTTTTCATTTACAAGGTTGCTTGCCAGATTTTCAAAACAGGTGAAATCAGAGGCCGCAATTATTTAGGCAAAAGCTACAAAACAAATTTAATATAAAAGGGGAAATCGAGGGTTTCAAGCAAAAAAGTACTAAGTGCACTTTTTGCCAAAATTGAGATATTGTATCTGGGACAATGGTTTAATACCCCTCTATCATCCTACCAAAGGTTATATTGAAATCTGTTATATAACTTTGTATAATACAAATAAGTACTAAGTGATTATTATGGAAAATGTTACATGCAAAAAAGTATTAAGTGCATAATGCTCATGCAAAAAAATACTAACTGCATTATGTTACGTTTTTGCATGATTTGCCATTTCAAAAGTATAGTTTTGTTGTACTTCATAATAGTGCTTTTTGCATTACTGGTCATATTTGATTGTAATGTTATTCCCCTCAAGTTTACTGACTTCAGAAACTTCAAATATCTGAAAAAGATATACCCAAACAATAAAACAGACACAACAGGGAAGGCTGTATCATGGCTGCAGATAAAATGGATCCGCTACTGCAAACAGAAACCAGACTCACTACAGCTTAAATATAGCTTCGATTGCCCTTTTGTAGAAGTCAAACTTACAAAGACCACCAGGGGGCGTCAGCTTAGTAAAGACCAAGACATCCCATATGCGTACCAAGAAAAACTCCCTATAACAAAGGCCAAAAAGGATGACCTTCTATCACTATGCAGAAGTGGTGTGATTCCAACAGATCACCATGCCTATTACCACAGTCTGAATGTGAAGCCAGCTGGCATGAAGGATAGACTCCCCGTACCCCATCCAGTTGATAGTGACTATGACACAGACGGATAGGTGAGCTTCACAAATTAATTGATAAGTACATTATAATACAGTAATCTTTAAGTTGATAGCACCATCCATTGTTTTGTTGAAAACATAATTTCATGATAATGATTTGAATGTTTCAGGTGAAATCAAGGACCATGAGTTGGCAGAAAAGAAATGACTGGAAATCCAAGGGAGTTAACATGGACAAAATAGACTTAGAGAAAATACTTTACTATAGAGTGACTTAAGATATATTATTAGACTTTAGAAAACATTTACAAGCAAAATGGATGAAGAAATTAGTTAAAAACATTGGTATAAAATGTAATTCTGTCATGCAAAAAAAAACTATAATGCATATGGTATGTTTTTGCTGGTAACATTTTTGAAAAATACATCGTGCAAAAAAATACTATTTACAAATCCCCAGATTATGCGTTATTGCATAACATTTCAGAATTGGTAATTAAGGAAATAAAACCCCTTACATGTATCATTAAGATGAAACAAATAGATATTTGAATAAACAGCAGTCTGATTTATAGTAAAGAATCAAAGTGTTTTTCTTCATTTTCTCAAAACTAACAAAAGTGCACTTAGTACTTTTTTGCTTGAAACCCTCGAAATATATTTTTCAAACGTGCATAGGATATGAAAGGCTAGATCAACAACATATCTTTATTTTTCATATACATAAAACTGAACAAATAATAATGTTCATCTTATTACAAGCAATCAAAAATATTGAAATATTTTTCAGACTTGACTTGGGCAATGGCCATATTCAAAGAATATTGGATCACTTTCATCCACCTATTCTTGATAGTGACCCTCTCTTTGAAGAGTGGGACGATCTGAAAGCAGACTTATATTTGAAGTTTTATAAATAAGGACAAACACAAATGTATATTAAATGTGTTACTAGGTCTGACATATACTGTCAGTTACAGTTTTCAAAATCATTACTAAGAGTATTTTCAATTGTATATTTTTGGTGCTTGTGTTAAGAGCCACGTGGGAACAAAAATCTAAGCGATATTTTGGTTCTCCAAGGTTAAAGGGATGAAAATTGGCTATAGGAATAAACTGACTACAGACACAATGAGTCTTTGATTGAAGGAAAAATGTAAAATGATACTGAACCTGTTAGTGGTCCTGATGCTGAAGATAAAGGCATACAAAAAGCCTCTGAGGATTTTGAGGAACTTCTCACAAACATTAATTCTGACTCAGGCATTGACTTTTCTGACTTAGAAGAGGCTGCACGTGCTATGTAATAGCAGATCTTACAGCCTGTAATCAATTACAGATAAAAGCCTCAGCTATAATCAAAGTAAAACATAATATTTAAGGTAGGCTAATTTTTGTGGGGTAAACAACTTTTTCTACTTTTCAACCAGCCTACACGATTTCAGGGTAGGCAGATTAATGATGCGGTAGGCAGATTTTTTACCATTCCATCCCGTTCTAAAAATATTTTGGATCATGACACCTCTAGTAATACACAGAGTGCTTTTTATCATTTTACTTTCAGTCTCCACATGTTCAATTATATGATCCACATAGTGTCATTGACCTGTGGTACAAAACCACTGATGGTGGAAGGAGGCCAGCCATTAATCATGTTAATAATAAAAAGCTTTGATCAAAAATAGGAGTAAATGATCAGGGATCAGGATGTTAATGCTCCAATGGATGACAACATGATCATGGATCAGGATGGTGATTATCTGATGAAGATGTATCAGGATGCAGCAACAATTCAAAACTTGGATTTGACAATGACTGTGACAGTGGTCTAGATGAAGACTTTTCCGACTCAGAAGCAGAGGTTGACAGACAGAGAGGCATCAGTAATATGTATAATGATTGTGATGTTAGAGAAGCATCTGCTTTAATTGTTGATTTCATTAGAATCAGGTTAGAATACAATGTTTGTAAAATATAATCTGTAAAATACACTTTTTGTGTCATTTGATAGGAAAATATTATGGCTTATAATTTTCAGAATGGCTAATATTTTTGGAAAACATTCAAATACAGGGAATATTAATTCTTTGAATACATGTGTATACTCAATGGAACAAAAGTCCATTATTATCTAGTCATACATATGAGCCTTCAAGCAACCCCTCCATAAACAGAACATCAGAGTATTCAGGAAACACCTCGTCTAGTCCAACATGTGAGCCTTCAATCAACCCATCCCCAAACAGAACATCAGGGCATTCAAGGAACACCTCATCTAGACCAACATGTGAGCCTTCAAGCAACCCCTCCCCAAACAGAACATCAGGGCCTTCAAGGAACACCTCATCTAGACCAACATGTGAGCCTCCAAGCAATCCCTCCCAAAAGCTTACATTGTTTGCTATTGTAGAAAAGTTTATTTTATGCCTAACTCCATGTAAATATCATTTAGAGGATAGCCAGTCTAGAATGAGAGAAGTAGGGAGTGCATGGGGGGAGCTGCCAGAAGACAAAAAGACAGAATACAATAGAGAGGCATCAAGTACCCCTGATGTTGATCCTGCAGAGATGACAGACCTGCAGCGTAAAACCATATATAATGACTTTGTGGGACAATTTAATAAACTGGTATGTTTTACGATATTAAACTAGGGCTATGTAACATTTCAAGGGTAATGAATGAAATACATTTTGTGCTTTCAATAACAATTGTTAGAAATGTGACTTCTAGTTGGGTAGATTCCCCATAGAACATGTTATGAAATCACAAAAAATGAAATATGTTTTGTTGCATTGCTCAGATATTTATTTTCAAATTAATTGTTTTTATGTAAAATGAAAATTCAACAAAACCTGGTGGGGAAACTAATAGGTAGCTACTGGCTCTTGAATAATTACATTATTATGGCATTTAATTAAAATAATATCAACATACTATGAGATAAATGACAGGCCCTATTTTGAATGATAACAAATTATTTTCATTTTGTTAAACCTTTTTGAGTTTCTGGGTCAAGAAAATTTAATAAAAAATATCAATATACCTTGACATAAATGTCAGGCCATGAATTAAATGCTAACAAACCATTCTTGTTAAACCTTTTTGTGTTTGTATTTTTAGGTAAAGAAAATTGAAGTCTATGACTTTCTTGAAGTGGGGATTGTCCTTGTAAATACCAGGTCAGCAGAGATGCACTTGGCTAATGTAGGGACCAAAAAGGCCTCTGACTGGATGGACATAAGGCAAGATGTTCAGGTTGATTTCTACAATTATGTTACAGGTACATGTAGCCTCACTTCATCAATTAACTAAGAAGGAAAACAGAATAATTCAAATGATTTTATAACAACTTAAAAGTTCTCAAGTAATAACGAGTTAAAACAGATAGGAATATTATTGACCTAGTCTACTTAAAAAGTTTTGAATGAAGTGAAGAAAACATTACCTTACAGTTCTTTCAATAATTTTCAATTCAAGGATCAATTCAGGGTGTCAAAGACACAGAGGGGACGAAGGTGTCGAAAAAGCGGCAGGCTGTGCAACAACTCTTTAATGAGAAATATTGTAAGTACCCAATATACATGCACATGTATACTTGTATATTAGAAATATTTGTATGATGTAGGTGTTGAAGCAAATTGTGTTCAGTTAGCCATTACCTAACATTTAATGGTATTCAGTAAGACTCAAAAGATTTTGTCAAATATACTAACCCTACTATCATTTTTCCACAATATGTTAGGATTTCTGACTATACATATATATGCATTTAATTTAGCCACACGTTATAACACTGTTTGACAAAATGTAACAACATGAATACTTCAATACTCAAGAGGGTGTAGCAAATAGTATATCCATGCCATAATTGTACAAGAGGAATATTTTAGGCACTGCCCTTGGAAAATCCCATGGGCACAGATGCTCTTACAAAGCATTGGATCAAGGGAGGCTGAAGGCAGTAGGAATGCCAAGGGGGTCTCCCTGAAAAGACCCTCTGCATATGGATTTCAGGATATGGAGGAGATCCTGAAATCAGCAGAAAGGATTACTTTCCATTGTAAGTAAGAATCTGTGACAGCAATTGTTAAATACAGTAAAACCTGTATATAGTGAACACCTATGGAGCCACAAAAAAGTGTTCACTGTAGGTTGGTGTTCACTAGAAAGGGAATTTTATACAGAAGTGAATGTAAAATGTGACTTTAAGTGGTGTTCACGAAACAAAGGTGTTCACTAGAGAGAGGTGTTCACTAAGACAGGTTTTACTGTAATCAATATGTGCTGTCAACTATAGTCTTATAGTTATTGGTGAAAACCTACCAGTACTAAACATGACTTATCACTATCAGGAAATGCAATTCAATATCCAAAATTATTTAATTTAAAATGTTCTGTATACACAAAGTTTTTACATGAATTGACTTTACTTTGTTCACTTGTTCATGTATTCAATGGGATATAATTTGGCTATAATTATTTCTTTAGGTTGTGAGCCTGAGGAACAGGAAGCAGACAACATAGTGCAGTAGCAAAACAGTGTAGTGCAAGAGGGAGGTAGCATAGTGCGGGAGGGAGATGCAATGAGGGAACAGAACAGTGTACATGTAGTTCGGGAGGGAGACACTATAGTGCGGGAGGAAGATAGGGTAGTGCAGGTACTGCAGGAGGGAGATAGTGAAGTGTGGGAGGGAGACAGTGTAGTGCAGGAACGGGAAATCATAATGCGGGAGGGAGATAACAGTGCAGGAGCAAAACAGTGTAGTTCAGGAGGGATGTAGCACGGAGCAGGAGGATATGGTAGTACAAGAGGGAACCAGTGTAGTATTGGAGGGAGAAAGCATTATTAAGGACGGAGGTAATGCAGCTGGCCTAAGGACTATAAGTGCTTGTGCTTCAGTAAGCATGTCGATGGAGTTTACAGTCTCCTGTGTGCTCTGTTCCCTCCAAAACGGGATGGAAGGGGTGTTTTTGTTGTAAAACCATTCAATAAATGGGCAGATTTGGGGAAAAAGTTAAGAGGTGAACATAACCTATTCCTCATAAGTATAGTCCTGCCCTTGCTAAACATCTTGAAGCCCCTCGACAAAAAAAATGTTACTTATCTTAGCCCACAATCCCAAAAATGAACTTATTGATGTGATTGGAATTAAAATGCTACAAGCTGATATCCTGAATGAAATACGTGACTTAAAATATTTTCCCCTCTTAATGGATGAGGTAACCAGTTACAACAGTGAAATGTGTGCTCTGGTAATACGATTTATTGACAATCAAAGTGATATTCGTGAAGAGTTCCTGGAATTCGTTAAGACTAACAGGACTACTGGAGAGGCATTATTTGCAGTTGTGATGCAGAAATTCCTTTCTTGGAACCTAGATGTCAGGAATTTACGACAACAGAGTAGGGCTCCAAAAACGATTGCGAGATGTATCCCATAATGGAACTGCACTTTACACCCATTGCAGTTGCCATTGTTTAAACCTTGTAATAGCACACTCTTGTCAAGACATATAAGTCCAAACAATGCTTGATAGAGTGAAAGAGACGCATCTCTTCTTCAATGGAAGTCCTCGTAAAGAGGGACTGCTCATTGAAATAATTTCCAAAAGAGTGGGTCCTTTTAAGAAGCCTTTAATAGACCTCTACCAAACAAGATGGGCCAGTCGCCAGAAGGCATTTGAAGCACAATGTTCAACCGCAGTCCTCAACTGTTGGAGAAAATGAGAAGTATAATGGGGAAAATACTACAGATAAGGTATGTGAGACAAAGTAAAGATGTGAGACATAAAGCGCTATTTCGCGAAATATAGAAAAATCAAAGCATTCGTATTAGGATTCAAACAGTGTAAGCAAATTCTAATATGAGCTCATATTTGTATTGGTATTGACAATCGACCACATTTCCTGTAGTCTTTCTTCGCCATTGTTATATAGATAACCATATTAGGATTTGTATTAGGATTCAAACCGACCTGGCGAATCCGAATATGAGCTCATATTTGTATTAGTATTGACATTCGACCACATTTTGCTGCAGAAAAGTCGTCTTTCTTCGCTAGAATAATATGAACAACCATATTAGGATTCAAACACAGTTGGCGATTTTTAATATGAGCTCATATTCTATTTGTATTGGTATTGACATTCGACCACATTTCCTATAGTCTTTCTTTGCTTTTATGATATAGATAACCATATTAGGATTTAGGATTCATATTAGGATTCGTATTAGGATTCAAACAGAGTTGGCGAAACCTAATATGAGCTCATATTTGTATTCGACTACATTTGCTACAGAAAATCGCTAGAATGACATAAAATTCATATTAGGATTCGAATTGGCATTCAAATAGAAGATATGAATCCTAATATGAGATCATATTTGTATTGGTATTGACATTCAAGCTCACCAGCAGGTGCTGGTCATTTTACCAATACCAATATGCAGCCAACTTTACCCACTTTTTATTTAAAGTGAATTCAATTCTCTTTACAAAGGTACCAAAATTGAGGGGATCACAGTTATAATATTTACAGAGGTGGCGTTAACGCAATCTTTTACGTTTTTTACTCACATTTTTGCAACTCTGACGCAAATATTCATTGTTTACCGAGTCTTTCTGACGCATGTTTGTTTCACATGCCAAATCCCCGCTTGGTACTTGGTTAAATTGATCCCTATACGTGAAAATACGTGATTGATCAAATTTATAATTTTGCTAATTCCGGAAATCTAACATTTCGTTCAGCGCAATCGAGCCTCCTTCCTACGCAACGAACGAAACAGCTTTTCAAGATAGATTCCTGGGATTCAAGATTTTTATTCAGTTTTATAGATGGCGTGAGTATATCTCCCGGAAGTTGCCATGTTTGTGGCGGGAAGCTTTTGAAAACGTCAAATAAAATTCAATAAAATGCCTGTAGTGAAGCAGTTTCTCGCTAAATGGGTGGAGGATTTCAGATGGGTAACAACAGTGCCACCAGATGCTGCCCCAGCAGCGGTGACTGGTATGAGGTGCACTGTGTGCACGAGAGCAAACAAGTCAATTGTGTTTGCCTCACTCAGGGGAAGTACTGATTTCCAAAGGTCGAGTCTTACGAGGCATGCCACCTCCCCACAGCATCATATAGCAGTGCAAACTGTTGCCATGCAACACGATATGAACAGAGCCCTTAATAACCAGATTGACCACGCAGCTGGAATGATGATTAATAGTGACATTTTTCTTGCAATTGCCTAATTAATTAATTGTTAGTTGTTAATGTGCTATAAGAGTACAATAAAAGGTATGCACAAAATCAAAAAATAGATTTTGTATGTGGTTTCTACATTTTGTATGCATTTTTAAAAAACACTTTTATAGCTTTGACTCAACTTTTTTTCTTGTGACTCACTTTTTTGAAACAACCTGAGTCATGATGACTCACAAAAATATATGCCTACCGCCACCGCTGATTTAAATGATTGGAAACATTCAATTGCTGGTCAAATACTCAGTTGTTGAGTTTACTATTCAATTAGTTAAAATGGTAATGTTTAAAAGTAAAAATCCATTCCTTTTTCAGAATTTAAATAAGCTGAAAAAATATTGATGGATTCAGAATTAAATTCGCTTATAGATACAGTTCATCTCATACCTTAAAGATGAAAGATGAGATAAAGTTTGAACATGCACAATTCGGTGAGGTTCACTTTCAGTCTAACACCTAGATTTGAAGTCCGTACTGTTCAAGGTCCAAGTAAACCAAGTGATTCTGATCCAATTACTGGCTGTAATTGGTTGCCAGGAGTCACACAAACCCAGTATAACGAGGCCATTGACCAAGATCCCTTGTTAGCTCCCATCAAAAAATGGATGGAGATAGGTTATCGTCCTCTGTGGTCAGAAGTAGCTCCCAGGTCCACTGATCTCAAGCGTATGTGGTCTCAATGGGATCGCCTGCATTTGCATCAGGGGATTTTGGAACGAAAATGGTTAACTGAAAACCAAACAATTTGGCAAGTTGTCATACCTGCATCCTTACAACTTGACATTCTCAATGGCATGCACAATTCAAGAGATGCTGGACACTTAGGTGTTACCAAAACCATCCATCGAGTAAGGGACCGATATTACTGGTTAGGCTACAAAGCTGATATTGCTCGATGGGTGGCAGAATGTATTGTATGCCAAAAGAGAAAACCGCCAAATAGAAAACCAAAAGCTCCCATGAAAACGTATAATGTGGGCACACCTTTGGAACGGGTTGCTCTCGACATATTGGGTCCCCTACAGGAAACTTTGTCAGGTAATAAGTATGTATAAGTAAGTAAGTAATAGAGGACTACTTCACGAAATTCATGGAACTAGTGGCCATGCAAAAACAAGAAGCCTCTACCGTTGCCACTGCCACTGTTTTCTTAAATGACTTCATATGCCGGTATGGAGCACCATTAATTGTCCACTCAGACCAAGGTCGGCAGTTTGAAAGTAACCTTTTCCAAGAGTTGTGTGACATGTTACAGATTGATAAGACCATGCCATCCTGAGTCGGATGGCATTGTTGAGCGGTCGAATCGAACAATTGAGGCTATGCTCGCGAAAGTTGTTTCTCCCATGTTTCTCTCATCATGACTGGGACAAACATCTTCCCTTTATTGCGGCAGCATATCATAGTGCCCGTTAGGAAAAAACTGGCCTTTCGCCTACATATCTCATGTTTGGTCGACAGCCTCGCCTTGCATCTGAGCTGGTAGTTGGTCCTCCTCCACAAATAGATCTTGACGAAACATATAACACTAAATTTTGTCAAGAACTGCAAGCCAAATTAGTCCAGACATACGATGCCGCCCGGGGTCATATTCAGATCAGTTCTGATACTCAGAAAAAATATTATGATTTGAAAGCAAATTCACAAGCTATATCCCCTGGCGACACCGTATGGTTACATGTACCTGTTACAGCTGTAGGTCACAGTCCAAAATTTCTTAATCCCTGGACTGGCCCATACAAAGTGACCTAAAAGTTGTCGGATACTGTTTTTGAACTGGATGTTTAGGGAACTCCGAAAGTAGTCCATGAAAACCAACTTATACAGTATATTGAATCCCATTGACAGGCAAGAACAGTCCCCTTATCCACTTGCAGGTACCCCTGATGACACCCAAACTAATTCTCCCTCTGTTGTAGAAGGCCGCGAAAACCACTCAATTGGTTAAAAGATTATGATTTGGAATAATCGCCAAATTTTTAACACATTGCTTGTTTTGCTTCTTTTCAGAATGGTGGTCTGCGCAAAATACAGAACAAAAGTTCTCGTTTGTGGGGTGGAATTTCCAACAAAGGAGGAACTTGAGGAACATGACATGAATCAACACCAATATGTGTATTCTCAGTTCAAGTACTGCAGATTTATGCTGAAAGAACGCACCACAAGGACACGCCAACAGATGGACCGACATGAGCACAATCATGCTGAAAAGAAGAAAATATTTCCAAATGGACACAAAGAAATCCAATCACATTTGGTAACTCTGAAAAAGGTGCCAAAATCATT